CAAGTAAATTTCTTTATTGTTTGATATAGTTTTCATGATGTATGGGTATTATATTTTAATCTTCCTGTAACACAAAGTAATACAGCACTGTTGAATAGAAACATTATCATTATTACATTAATCATATATACTTTCATTACAATTTTGTAATACAGTATAAGATTTTTATACAACTTTTTTTATCCATGAAACAGGAAAGCAGGAAAGTTTAAATAAAATTAACAAACAAACAAGATCACTTATCATTAATTACAGAGTATACAGTTTAAGGATGTGAATATTTCTATCACGATTCAAATATTTACCAGTCATGCCAACTCAGCAGTTTTATGTATTCCTGAATTTTATTCTCTTCACAAAAACCATTTTTCAACATGACCAGAACTGAAAATCATTGCAACGTTTTTCACTCAAATCGGGCTAAGAAAAGCATTAAAATACAAATCTCAATTTATTTCTGAGTATAAATCCTAATTTTTTTTTTGCATTGTAACATTTCTGTTTTAAACATCTCAGTTAATCTATGTAAAAAAACCCTCAAAATTACTGTTTTAAGGACCCTTTTTGAAGTGAAGTTCCTTTAAAGCTGAGAGGTGGGAATAAAATTTGACTGCTTTGTTCTAAACAAATCTGATATCTGATTGCTTAGTGCTTTTCAAAAAAAAAAATGTTAACAATGGCAGACGTCAAATTTACAGGTGTACGTACCGTACCGTACAAAATGTTATCTGAAATTGTTAACAGTCAATGTGTAACGCTAACATTGAAAATGTATATAACTACATTGTCACAGATTTTGACATACAGCTATCCAATGACTTCCTGATTTTTTTAAAAGTCTTAACCTGCTGAATTTATATAATGGATCTTCTCTATTTAAAACTGAAACAATCCATTCAAAGTTTAAGGGAATTTGATTTATACAGTTTATAGTCGGGCCAGCCTTGCTCATCAATTTATGTTCCTAGAAATAGAAATATGTTCATATCTTCCGCAATATTACACATGTAATAAATATTGCATTTAAAATACAAAAAGCTGCACCTAACTGACTAATAAAATGCCTTGCGATTACAAGCAAATGCTACTTTCGCTCACTACACATTTCTTGGGAGCATATATATTTTAACTTGCACTTTCTTGCAAAAACCAGAAGTAGACTTGTTTAAAATCATTTAAAGCTTTACTGATGGAGGAAGACCTTATGTGCTCCTCTTTGCAGTATTTTAGGCACAAGTAGATTCTAAAAAAAGGATTCACAGACCTTCTGTTAGCCAGATAGTATTCTCATATGACAGACATTATTGTGAGTCACCTGCAAATCCATGGGGGAAAAAAATAAAATAAACCAAAGGTGTTATTGCTTTCTTTTCTAACAATTACCACAGGAAATTGAAGTTTAAACCCCCTCCCCCTCCTCCCCACTCAAAAAACCTTCTATTTCCTGTGCAATTACAGACTTGAAGTGATTGACCTTAAGTTAACAACTTGACCACAGAGACTCGCACAAATCATGCAGGAAGAAATTACTGCAATAGAGCTTCTTTGTACTTATAATTACACACTTACAAATTCTGACAGCTTCCATAAACCATAATACAAATATCGTTTTTAAAATTTCTGTCACATACTGAAAGTTTGCCAAATATCCTGAAATTATTTTCAATATTCTAATCTATACATAAAAGAAACGTCCACTTCCTGGTAGTGAATATTCATACAAATTAGTGTACCATATTTCTTTTTACTATCTAATCTTAAAGTAGATTATTTAAGCATAACAATTGGATGACAGAGAATTGACAGTTGGCTGTTGGCAAGTTTAAAACTGCAGTTTGATAGTAAAGCAGGAAGTCAAATTTTGAATGAATTATGAAAGCTAAATCTATCTGAAATTGATAATAAAAACTTTGCTGAATAAATATTTGCTTTTTCCTTGAAGGTTATCACTAATTTAATAATCTAGCTTATCAAGATTTAGATAAAAATAGTTTTTGAGGGTTGTATATAAATCACATGTATAATTGAAGATCATTTGTAATGATAGTTTACATTAGAGAAAGTCTGCTTTTTTTTGCTTTTTTTTAATTTATTTATTTTATTTTTTTACATTTGTTAAAGTAATGTGTATGGTTTTGTATTCTCCTCCCCTGACTTCTATAACTGAAAAATGCAATGTTTTACGCCCTGGAACTTTACACATTTGAGTTGTGTCTATGTCCCAACTAAACTGAATCATTAGAAAAAGCAGAAGGAATGATAAACAATGGACATATCACTTTATTTGGGGCTTTCATTTTTATCAGAGGCAACAGATGAGCCAACAAAAACATCTGATATGAACAAGGGTCATGGGGGATACTTTATTCTACAGGCTGAAAATATAACTTATTTTAACAGCATTTCAACGAATGATATAGATCGCTTATCTGTTAGTAATGAAAACCCTGATAATAATATTAGTCAATATATATTAGTAAATCAGTGCTGAATTTCAAAATTAAATCTTAAAAAGAGAAAGACAAAAGAACAAATATTTATTCTTAGTTTCTATAAAATCCTAATACATGTATATAAATTCTTACATGTCCTCTTTAATTGGCAAGTTATAGCAATAACTATACTTCCTTTCATTGGCAAAATATGGAAATAACTATACTCCCTGAACCTTACAGGAATAAAAATGACTGCTAATCATGCTTTAGCAAAAACTCTGGGAAACTTAATCAGATTTTTTTAAACATTTTCTTCATGTTCATTTTATTATCATACTTTATCAATAACCTTCAATGCAGAGTGCATGGTCACTAGAAAAAAATTGGAAAACAATACGATTTGTAAAGAATGACTGTATAAAGGTAGTGAAAATTTAAACCTTCAGTCAAAACACCTTCAAAAGTATCTTGATATTGATAGCATTGCAAAAGTATACAAACCAAGGTATCTGGCATTCACCTTAATACAAGGAAGTGACATTGCCCTATACTGACACCTGAATATTTATTTATCACCATATAGATCTACACTATTTGTATACAAAGCTGTAGGTTTTGCATGATAAGAACAACTGTACTTGGTTTAATTCCTGCTCATAGTAAAGTATTAAATCTTAAATCTGACTGGTTTATTTCCATGTTTTGTTTTAGTTCTAACTTTGATGTATAATATCAAAGGCGATTTATCCTCTTTGAAGACAAAAACTCCAAAAACCAATTCAAATTGCATCAATGTTCACTATTTCACACCTTGTCTTTTATTTTTTAATCATTGTTTATTATTTTACACCTTGTCTTTCACTCTTGCATCATATTTAACTGTCTGATATTGACTACTTAGGCAAAACATAAAAACAAAAGCACCGAATGTGGTGTTAACGCTCTTCTGTTAACGGCAATAACTAGCAATAAGTTAAAACGGGGCATGACTCAATAAAATAGCTTCCAGAATTATGCCCCTTGTGTAACAATTGCACCATGTCATGATAAGCAAGTATTCCAAATCTTAAATTTTTTGAATGAGCTCCATTCAAGTTTTTGACAATGACGACAACGACAATGTTGAGCTTAACTTTTTCTCCAAAACAAATGTGTCAATGTTTCAAACCTAAATGTAAGAGACCAATCAATTCTCTTAACACAGGTTTGTTGAAACTTTTTATATTCCATTAGTGGTATTAGTCTATGATTCAAAAACCTACAATGTTTTAAGCACAGGGAGCACAATTCTTATTTAAAAACAAGCAATTATCATAGTATTGCAAGCAATCCATAAGTCCCCTACCGGGAACCCCAGCAACTTTCTGATGGGCCATTGGCCAGTCAATTTTACCAGTGAATGAATGACATGAATGAACTTAAATCTTTTGAGTTCTAAGTTTGTCTATATCACAGTAATGTGTTAAGTTTCCCTGCCTAGTAAGGAAATTATCTTTATACAACCTTGTCATATTATTACGATGTGGGATTTTAAAGTAAATCCTATAATGAATGAAGAAGTTGGAGTGAAAAATACCAATTTCTCGAAAAAAATCTAAGTTCAAGGGGGACATAATTCTGGAAATAGTCTTGCTAGAGTATTTAACCTTCTCAAAAATGTTGAGTGATAATAAGAAACATATATATGAAGTTTGAAGTAGATACATTAGGAAATAAAGAAGTTATTTAAAAAAGACAACATTTTTTTCATAAAAATTCTAAGTTCAAGGGAGGTAATACTGATAATTTTTGTGCTAGAGTTGTAAACCTTGTCACATATGATGTGGTTGATGACCAGAAACTTATATTTAAAGTTTGAAGTAAACACCTTAAGAAATAAAGAACTTATAGTGAAAAAGCTGAAAAATTTAAATCAGAAATCTTGAAATTCAGGCTATTTGTTGCCATAGCAACCAGAGTTTTCAACATAGGAAGAAAAAAAAAGACGTGCATAATCTCCATACAGCCATCTATCCATATATCAAGTTTCATAAAAATATTTTCAGTACTTTTTGCGTTATCGCGGGATCCAGTTTATGTGTTCAATTTGCCATATTTTCAGGCTATTTGTTGCCATAGCAACCAGAATTTTCCACATAGGAAGAAAAAAAAAAGACGTGCATAATCTCCATACTGCCATCTATCCATATATCAAGTTTCATAAAAATATTTTCAGTACTTTTTGCGTTATCGCGGGATCCAGTTTATGTGTTCAATTTGCCATATTTTCAGGCTATTTGTTGCCATAGCAACCAGAATTTTCAACATAGGAAGAAAAAAAAGACGTGCATAATCTCCATACTGCCATCTATCCATATATCAAGTTTCATTAAAATATTTTCAGTACATTTTGCGTTATCGCGGGATCCAGTTTTGTGGACTGACGGACTGACAGACAGACGGACAGACAGACAGACAGACGGACGGAGGGTAAACCTAAAGTCCCCTCCGGTTAAACCGGTAGGGGACTAATAACTACATGGAGGATTACATAATACAAAGTAAAACTGTTAAAATCAAGTTTACCTGCTGTTTTTCTGCAACATGTTCTGATTGGCAAAGGGAGCACTTGATCATTCTCTTTGGACATTGGTTAAGAAGATGTTCTGATAATCGACCACGTAATAATATGTTGGCACATTCATTGGGACAAGGAGTTAATGAGAATACACAATTTTCTAAATGGATCTGAAAGTAAAAAAGCTTAATATCAGAAAATATAATTACATATAGGGATTTCATGACGTAACCACAATATTAAGTTAGAGATCTTGCTGAATTTTCAAGAAAACATTCTTAAAGAGGCATATTTGTGTAAGATGCAGAAACATTTTTGGATGCATTTAAGTTAATTCAAGTCATAGAAATCTATGAAATCCATAAATTGCTTGCAAGTTGAAGCACTGCATTGTAAAAAATTTTTTATACAAAATTGGAAAATAAATCATCACAATTACTGAAAACAATAAAAAAGACTTTTTAACATCATCTCACCATTAATGATCCGCTTGATGAAAACTATTGTAAACAAAAACATAATTTGATTAAAACAAAATATGAATCAAGTTGCTCACCTGTAAGTGTTTAAGAACAGTAGTCTGATCACAGCCCTTTGTATGATTGGGACATTTCACAGTTAACGCCAGGATTTCTCTTTTCGCAAAATTATCCGGGAATAATTGCCGCTCGTCAAGAGACTGATTATCCACGGGACATCTTGCCTCCGATTCCCTGAAATGTAACGCAGTAAATTTAATATGATTTGATACCAACGGTCGTGAAAAACATACCTTGAACACTGGTACTAAGAAGTCATTAATATTCATGAATATTCATGATATAAAGCTATTTGTATAGTGTATTTTTTTATGGTTATATTAAATCTCAATGGACATAAAAAACTTCTCCACAATTTTATATCCCAACATCTAGAAAATTCTTACGGTATATCAATAACAGTAAGCTGAATTACGGTATTTAATTTCTTAAACATTTCTTTTTCATCATGTGATTAACCATAATTTTTTCATCAATCAAGTATGCACTCACTAATTTTTTTTCCCCTTCAATCACAGCTGAATAAAGCTGTTTTCCCTAGCCCAAAATAGGTATATTTTCCCGTAAAAATGCCCTGTGCACATTCATCATCAAAATGGAGAAGGACAGGAAGCTGCCCTATAGATGGCTTTCGCTACATGTAACAGTATGTAGCATATGTACCATGCATGTAAAAATTGAAACGAATTTGAAAATTTTATAATATGTATTGGTAAATTTCATTTTCAGTTATTAAAATTTGTTTTCAGGTTTTCCTTCAGGCTTCTTTTCCGATTTATTGTGCTATATTTTCCATTTCAGAAAGCCACACGCACAGGTTGTTTTGAAAATTGAAAAAAATCACTGGCACAAATCTATAATAACTAAAATTTCTTAAATTGTAAAAAAGCATTTAATGCATTAGTAACCGTGATTATTCAGTAATATTTTGCAAAAAAAAAAAAAGCCTTCCATGATTTATTGTTATTAAACATTTTTTAAACTCTGATTAAACTTTCATTTTCAGTTTTAATTTTTTTTTAAACTTTGTATTCTCACCTGTAAACCATGAAGCTTTAAATATAAATCTAAAACTAACAGAAATTTATTCAAATCAAAATAATTGATCAGTCTATGACTGCAAATACACGTATATGACAAAATTAAAGTTCAAAATAAAACTTCAAATTACCGTAACACAATAAGATAACCTATTTAAATGGAATGAACCTATTTAATGTTAGGTATTAAATTATTAATCTAGGTCTTCTTGGAAAGGAATGAATATATGATAAATGAACTAATGGCCTGTACATTGACTATAACTCGAGTTACTACCAACAATGCACATTAAATATCTATAAGTATAAATATCTATAAGTATGTTGAGGGTATCAGAGCATAATCAGAACATGTGTAATTTTAAACTACTGATATCTTTCAAGAAATAAGGTGATATTCCTAGAAAAACTAAATTTACCTTATTAAGTTATTTCAGAACCAGTGACTGTATAACTATAATTATTAAAATATAAGTTTTTAAAGCAGCATGCCTCCAGATTCACGCTAATTTTTATCACAATTTTGAAAATGTATTTAACAGTAAAATATTGTCAAGTGAACAAAGAAAGTAATTTTCACCTTGCAAACGGCACTTACAATCCACATATGTTACAAAAAGAGGTCAAAATATGCAAAAAAACAGCTTTAGTCACACAATAGAAATATGGTGATAAAAACTGAAAAATCAGTTGATGATTGCATATAACAGGTTAGTTGTTAATGGAATCTTGAAATTTTTTAAAAATCTTAATACAAGTTTTATTTTATTGAAATATTTTGGCTCATCTGTAGGCATGCAGCTTTAAAGATCAACCTACTGTTATAAGAATATAGAATTAAAGTTCTTGACATAAACAACAATATAACATATACCATATGCATTAAATTTTGACAGGTTTTACCCTAACCAACCTAAATATCTTAAAAGGACTTGCCCATACTTCAATCCGGACCAATCAATTCATCATTTTAAGGGGAAAATTAAAAAAATATATATACTGTCTGAATAGGGAACAGTGTAGAACATGATCAGACGTCATGGCAACTTAGTACTGGTTGGTTAACCCATTACCAGATAAATACGCCTTTCTACGCCTTTTTTATCCCCCCCATTTTTTGTTGTCTCAAATGGTGAAAAAATGCCTTATTTAGGCCCCCAACACTTGTTTTTGTTTGAGAAATGTTGTTTAAAAAAGTGACCACTTTTTTGGCGCCGCCCCCTATCCAAAAGATACATCAGGGGGTTGCCAGAAGGGGGATGTGCCCCCCTCATCCCTAAGAAGATTTTGGACTTGTGAGAGGCTTAAAATGACCCCAGGTTAAATCATAAGGTAATGTGTAACCAGAGCTGAAAAGCCTTTTACTCTATCTCAATCCATCGAGAAGTTGAAATCAATTTTGATGGGAAAAATCAACACAAAATAGTGATATTTGGCAATTTTGAGATGTCCCCTTGTTGCCATGGTAACAGGAAATTTAAGACTGAGCATGTTGTTACAAAGGCAATGGTCCAGTCAACATTTGTGCCAAGTTTGATTAGTATTGAAGCAGTTTTTATAGTTTTATAGCAATTTGAACTTGTAAAACAGGAGACTTTTCAATGAAAACAGTCATTTTTCACAAAATGCTCATGCGGAAATGGGTTAAAGGAAAAATTTTGAGAGTGTTTCTTTAAAGCTTAAAGGTTTTTTCATAATTAAACTAAGATAAATTCTGTCATTGTTTGCATTTAATATATCTATTAGTACAATTATAGAAATATGAAACCACTAAATATTGAATATCATGAATATCGTTTACTAGGACAAGGCTGAACAAAATTGCTTTTTTCTTGTAAAAAAATATTTAATGTAACTGAATATTTCAAATGAATACTTCTAACATCAAAATCATATTCTTTTTAACAAACTTACTTTGATCTGGTCTAAATTAAAGTAAATTTGTGGAAATCAAAATAATTTTTTAAAAAATCAATGTAAATTTGTAGGGTACAAGAATTTTTTCATTCATAATAAATATTGTCATTCATAATAAATATAAAATTCTAACAGAGACATAAAATATTATAGATAAGAGAGATTATAGGCAACTTCCTAGACAGTTAAGATATCACATGTGATTGCTAAATTTAAAACTTGTAGCAAGTAAAACTTTTTTACCAGATATCAAAATCAGTAAAATAATACATTTTTTGAAACCTTATACATTTGTCTACTATATGGCTACAGGTAAAAACATGACATCATTTTGAATGGAAGAGAACTTTTGTTACAAAATTATGTATATGACGAAAAACTGGCTCAGTGGGTATAAGTAAGTAAGTAACGACTTTATTTAATGAGGCTAACACATTCAGTTTCCCGATCTTCCATGCGTGCCTCAAGGTATGTTCTGTTAGGTTGTTTTATTGAAAGGCATAGGAAGTTACTGATGTTTTAACATGCAGCAATTGATTTGATAGGCATGATTGTGTAATATTTCAATGGAGTATACAGGAGCTGCTTATCTCTGATAAACAAACAAACATATAAATAGGTAATGACTTGGCGAAAACATAAGACAGTGGAGATTCTATGACAATTTAATCCAACTAAGGAATGTCGTGAAATACATCTCAAAATACATCTCAAATAGAAAATGAGTTGAGAAATAAGCAAATGTATGCCTCAAATGAGCGCAATATGCCATCAACAAAAAAACTTTATACTTTAAAACTTTTTTTACAGAAGCACAAGTTACCTGAGCCATTTAAGAATACAAGCACGGCAAAATCGATGTCCACACTCTGTCTGCATGGGTTCACGCAAGACAAGTAAACATATAGGACAGTCATATTTCTCCGAACGCTGGGGTACAAACACTAGATCCCACCCTTCTTCATTTTCGAAGATCTGCCCGTAATCACAACCTGATAAAAAGAAAGATTTAGTGTCAATGTTTATACACAATCTTCATATTAAAGGAACTCCACTGAGGTCCAAAGGCCTAAAAACATAAAATTTGGATTTCTTACACAGATCAACTGGGACACTTAAAACCAAAATATATGCAAAAGATTATTAAGAAATGCATTCTGAAATTAATTGAAAATTGTATTTTTTGATATTTTCAATCTATTTGAGTTGCAACGCTTTTCATTTTGGCATCATTTTTCACGATTGGAATAATTATTCTGAAAAAAAGGAGTGAGCGAAGGATCTGAAATTTTGCACACAAATTATTTGTTTAAACGTACATCAAATGGAACGTAAATCTTGAAAAATTATTTTCAGTCCCTTTAAAAGCACCAAATAATTGCATTATTTCATGAAAGTTTGTCTCTTGCCACATAAAATAATAATTCTATCTAAAACTTTCAAAATGACAATATTTTATGTTTTTGTTTTCTTTTTCTAGTAATGTTTAATGCCCTTTCGGCCACTCAGACTTATGTTTAAGTCATGCCAGAAAACTGCTTCCTTCCTGGGTATCTTATACAATGATGGCTACTGCGTAGATTAGAGAGGCTGAGTGAGAATTACATTTACAATTTGGGATTTGAACCCGTGAATGTACCAATTAGAGAAAAAGAAATCATTTACTTTTGAGTTTTTAATAAAATATTTAAAACTGGAACAATTTTCAACATGTTTTAAACCAACAGATAATGGATATAATTATATACATATGTATTTTTTTTTTTTTTTTTTTTTGTGAATTTCTTTTTGTCAGATCTACAAACCAACCCTCACATAGATATTTATTATACTATATGACATCAATACCTACCTCCACTGCTGTTACTACTGTTGCTACAGCTACTGTCACGGCTACCAGCAGTTGTATTCTGAAACAGTCCAGTGTTTGGAGCAGACGACACTCCAGTGTTTGGCAACAATGAAGCATTCCCTCCAGGTATGCCTCTTAAAGGCCATGAAGTATTTGGCCCCAGTGGTAGACTTCTACTTGCTACATGACCACTACCAGACTCTGTTGCTTGACTGTTACTTGGTAAATAAAGACTTCCGGACAAAATTGATGCACCCCAAGTGGTCGATGAATTAGTCAAGCCAACTGGAGGATTGGTAATGCTACCACTACCAAGTGGAGCAGATCTTGACATATGAACACTTAGCTGGTTAGGATTAGTTGTCAGTGAAGGATTCGAACCGGTTGGACCGGTTCCATCCTGACCCGTATTAGGAGGTAGATGTGGGTATGAGGCACGGCCACCTTGATTCGCCATCAGCTAATGTTTGTAATCAGCTGCCATTGTTATATTCTTCCAATTCATAATGATATGTAATAGTTTCATCACCTGCAAATAGATTTAAATATTCATATTAAAATAGAAGTATTAATGATTTTGACATGGTTTTCATTATAAAGTTAACAGATTGGAGATTCATATCATCAGTTGAAATGATGTTAAAATTGTTTGTGTTTTTAGCCTGTAAATTAAAATGCCCCGCTTGACCCGTGGCCAAATTAAATGTTTTAGTAAACCCTGTATGTAATGACCAGGTAAATATATCTTACTTCCATACAGAGGATACAAAATTTTAATTTAAGTGCACCCTCTCAACAAAGTGCCTCTATACAGCAATAATTTATATCATATGTTCCCAATGGAACACCCCACAACAAATTTCATTTCTATAGGGCAACACCTAAGCAACACCGGATTACAACAAACAAAATTTTTTAACTCCTAAAATGTGTTGCTCTACAGAGTATACAACAACAACTGACCAAGTGAATTCATGGGACATGTTTTATTTTTTTCAAAAATTCTCTTTACAACTACGCAACTGATAAAATTAAACTACTTAAAGAACAGAATGAGGGAAATCACCTACATTTTACTATGTACTTCAAATGAATTAAAACATGCTTATATCAACCTGTAACACACAAATTATACAGACACACATAATAATGCAAGTCACAGCACATAAAATCATAGAAGAACACATTAATAATGCACAAAATAAATAAATAACTAATTTTCAAATTTTTTTTTCCCTTAATAGTGTGATTACATACAACAAAAATACTCTAATCAAAAGTTATTACCATCTAACAATATATACATACTTTCAATTGCTTGTGAACTCGATTTAACATTACTAATATAATATAATTATGACAGTTGGTAAAATTCTTGCAGGCTGTGTAAGCAGGGGCCTTTACTTTTTTTCCAAGAAAGTGAAAATATAAATAATTTCCATGAATATTTTATAGTCCATAATAATATGCCACAACATATTTATTGTCCATATTATATGCCACAACACACTTCTGACAATCTAGCAAAAAAAAAAAATGTTGGTGCATGCCCCAAAACTCCCTAGAAGTCCCCCAATTTTAGTCCAAGCTATGCCTTTGAATGAGAAAACATATGCAAGTAATCCTACCTGACAAATATAAAATAAACTCCATTTTACTTTTATTTCTGAAATATCAAAATTAGTAGAATTCCTAAAATAATTATTTAAGAGAGAGAGAGAGAGGTAATAATAACCCAATGCTATGTAATAAAACCTTTAAAATCCTGTTCATACATAAATTAACCCCAACTAGAACAGGAAGTTTAAATGCTGATCATTCTTCCATTATCTTTTTTTGTTAATTCATTCAATAAGTAAAGACACAAAAATATAGGTTTAAATTACAAAAGCCTTTAGATATATGTGTATAGTATACTCTTTGACCAATCAGATGCCTCTAACAAAAATTTTTTTGTTGAGAAAATCGATTCTGTTACGAAACATAACAAATATTAACCAATAACATTCCCAAAACTGCATAATGAACTAGTCTAGCTTTAAAATTTGTAACGTGATTTCGTTAACAATAGGGATACTGATGTGAAAATGTTAAAGATAAGCAGCCAAAAGTACAGTCTGACTGAAAACTCAATTATTTTTCATCATCTCCAAGTTCAGACGGAAGAAAAGTATGAGGTTCAATTGAGTACACATGCACTAAGCCTGCGTAAGATTGCCCAATCAGCGATTTTACAGAGATGGATTGGCTAGCTAGTTAGGAAGTGTGTCATTAAAATATTACTGTTTACAGATTGATGATATATTTGATCAATGGATATTGAAACTTCCTCATTCCTGGTTAAAGTACACTGTTATTAAAAAATTATAAAGATAACAATTGATTTTTTTAACCGTTATCCAGCTTCCATTTTTGGAACTGTCCATTATCAATATTTATCACACACCCGTGCCGATTTTGCGACTCTGTAAAAATGGTATTGCACGGCCGTGCATATATTTTGACGTGATGTCATTAGCTTTATACAAACATAGTGTAAAGTCGCGCTAAATGTTAGCGTTATACTATAGGCGCGTCAATGAAAAATGACTCTTATTTCACTTTAAACGGTCTTTATTTTGGGTATGTGATAAACAGAATATTAAATTTGTGTAAGTTCATTACTTAATTTATTGCACTCGTTGACTAAAATAATATTATGCTCGCCAGAGGCTCGCATAATATAATTTTATTCAACTCGTGCAATAAATTCAGTATTGAACTTACACTCATTCAATATCCTCTATTGGGGATATCAAGATGAAAATTTGAAGTTGGTCGGCCAGTTGTATAGGGCCTGGTCAGACTGCATGGATGTGCAAACTTCCCTGACCCTAAATTGGTAGCAAAAACCAGTTTTAAAGTACACAGTCATTAAAATAAGTATCCAAATAACAATTAAACGTTACAAAAAGTTGTAGCCTAAGTACCGGTATTTCCTGTTTTGTTTTAACTTGTATTTTTTTGTAACCATACCTCTTATATATACTTCACAAACAATTACATGATGCACTACTGTTTGTAAACTTTTTATTATCCAATGATAGGTTGCAGATGACAATAACGTTAACAGCTTCCTGTTTTAATAAATGCATATCACATGCTTTTTTCAAACTCTGTTTACACTACTTATGCGGCTGAAGAATCGTGGTAGCAACCAATCAACACTTGCGATGGGATTAAACATTAAAGGAACTCCACTGAGGTGCAAAAGCATAAAAAACATAAAATTTCATTTTTATTTACATAGTTAACCTGAGGCATTTAAAACACAAAGAATGCAAAAAATAATTAAGAAATATACTCATTGTGTTATTGTGCTATTCTTTGCCTGATTTGAGTGAAAAATGTTGCAACACTTCTCAATTTGGGGTCATTTTGCACAATAAAAATAGTTATTCTGGAAAAATAGTGCAGGAACAATCTGAAATTTAGCACACAAGCTATTGATCTAGACCTGATTCAAATGGAGCAATAATTACAAAAAAAAATATTTCCAGTACCGTCATGTCAAAAAAGCTCAGTGGAGTCCCTTTTACTGGCTCTTAAATTTTAAAAAGCTCATAAAATGAATGATGGGAAAATGCAAAACATTAAGCTTTTGTTGTATAAATATTCAACTCATAACTAAAGCCTTAGGTATACATGACAATTCAGTGCTGAGTAACACAATCACCAACTTGAGGAACTGTGGTTTATTTGGCATTAAACCACAATATTTTTTTTCATATACATAAGCAAATACATTGTTACATTCAGGAAGTTTCAATAATAAGATTTCCTCTATATGTAAGTTATTATTAGATGCCTCAAGTTGGATTTCATTGCAACTGGTACATATATATGTACATGTAGGTCACACATGTTTATTGTTGTGTTTTTGCCCTTCAGAACTATAAAATTACAAAAGCCTGTCTTGGTTTTACAAATTTTGCGCCAGATCATATCATATTAAATTTCTTTCTTTCAATTTGAAATATGTACCCTGCAGAGCAAGTGTAATGGATATGTCCAGCTTGTGATTTAAAAATATCCACTGCTTGTTTATGGTAATTTGATATCTATAAAAGAATTTTTTTATGGTTTTACAGGGCACCAGCACAGTTAAGGTCATATGGCGCCGAAACCGGAAAGATGGTTTTGCTAATCTCCGGTGTTACAAACTAAATGCAACATCAGGAGTCAAAACCACTTCACGTGCTTGAGCTAAGAGATGCACATACTCCAATAACAAGAACCCATTTAGATGCCTCTTATGATCATGCAGGGTTAGACAGCGGCTGCAATTCTGACAATTCTGCAAGTTTCAAACCCTTCAGGGCAAGCCATATTTGTTTCCTTGAGCAAGAAACATTACACTCATTGTTCAGTATGGTAGGTTCCAGGAACAGACCATGATCAGAGTCACAGATTTGCAGGCTACTTATCACATGGGAAGATTCAGTCATCGACAACAGGCTTTGGTATTGTATTATTATAATAACAAGAGGGCCATGATGGCCCTAAGGTCGCTCACCTGTATATAGCCCCCCGGAGCAGGGCCAGTTTAAACCCCAGGGCTTTTATTTGAACAAACTTGGAACACCCATTAGAAGATGTTTCATGAGTTTCATAAGTATTTACTACACACATATAATGAAAAACAATGACCTCCTTCTTTCCACCCCCCCCCACCGGCAGGGCCAATTTTAACCCAAGGGATTTTATTTGAACAAACTTGGTAGACACCCATAAGAAGATGTTTCATGCTAAACATCTAAGCTCTAGCTCATTGGGTTTTTTAAAAGAAGATTTTTTAAGTTTTTACTATACACATATAGTTAAAAACAATGACACCCCTGGGGCGGGGCCAGTTTTGACCCCAGGGCTTTTATTTGAACAAAATTTGTAGACACTTACTAGAAGATGTTTCATACTTAATATCTAAACCCTAGCTATTTGGTTTTTTTCAAAGAAGATTTTAAGTTTTTGCTATACACAAATAAGGAAAATCAATGACCCCCCGGGCGGGGCCAATTTTGACCCCAGGGCTTTTATTTGAACAAACTTGGTAGACACCCATTAGAACATGTTTCATGCTAAATATCTTAGCTCTAGCTCTTTGGGTTCTTTAAAAGAAGATTTTTTAAGTTTTTACTATATACATAAAGGGAAAATCAATGACCCCCTTGGGCGGAGCCAATTTTGACCCCAGGGCTTTTATTTGAACAAACTTGGTAGACACTTACTAGACAATGTTTCATGCCAAATATCTAAGCTCTAGCTCTTTGGGTTTTTTAAAAGAAGATATTTTAAGTTTTTTCTTTCGGTTGCCATGGCAACCAGAGTTCTGCATGGAATTAAATTCTTTGAACAATTTTTAAAGGTGACCACCAAAGGAACATTCCTGTGAAGTTTGGATGAAATTGGCTTAATGGTTTATGAGGAGATGTCGTTTAAAGTAAAAGTTTACGGACGGACACCGGACGGACGCCGGACGAAAAGCGATCA